TCTCTTTCTTTGCCCACTCTTCGTAATACGGTCTCGTTGGTTATCTTGTCTGTCCATGATATCCTTAGAATTCGCCTGTATAGCCACATCTCGAAGGCTTTAAGTTTTTTCTCCATTGCTTCAGTTAGTGTCCAGGATTCAACTCCGTAATACAATATTGAGAAGATATAACATCGTAGGAGCCTTACTTTTATCTCCAGATTAAGATTGTGGCTTTTAAAGAGTTTGGCCATGTTATTGAATGCACTCCTAGCCTTCTCTATTCTACATTTTATTTCCTGTGAGTGATCCCATTGTTCATTTACTGTTGTTCCAAGATAGTTATACTGTTTTACTCGGTCCACTGGTGTATTATTGATAAGTATTTGAGCGTCTCTAACTTTATTTTTGCTGATGATCATAAATTTAGGTTTTTGTTATATTTACTTGAAGTCCAAATCTTTGACTTACTTCATTTACTTTGTTTATTAGTTGCTGTAAACTGTTCAAACTGTCTGCAAAAATAACGGTGTCGTCTGCATAACGGATGTTGTTTAGGCGTTCTCCATTTAGAAGTATTCCATGTTCGCATTTTTCCAAGGCTTCACTAAATATTTCCTCTGAATATAGATTAAATAATATAGGTGAAAGTATGCAACCTTGTCTAACGCCTCGTAGAATCTGGATCATTTCCGTTGGTTTACCTCCAAAATTCGTTCTTATTGTGGCTGATTGGTTCCAGTATAAATTTTGTATTATACGTCGATCTTTATCATCCATTTGGGCTTTTGTTAGAATATCCATCATTTTTTGGTGTTGAACTGTATCAAATGCTTTTTGGTAGTCCACAAAGCAGGTGTAAATATCGCAAGTCATATCTCTGCATCTTTGAAATAATACTTGTAGACTAAACAGTGCATCTCTTGTACCTACGCCTTTCATGAATCCAAACTGTGTGTCTTGTATTCTCTCTTCGCATACCTTGTATATTCTACGATGTATAATTTTAAGAAAAAGTTTTAATGCATGGCTCATTAGACTTATTAGCCTATATTCCTCGCACTTTTTTGCTCCCTGTTTCTTTGGTAAGGTAATAAATTCTGAAAGTAGCCAATCTTTTGGGATATTGCCTGTGTCATAGATATTATTGAAGATTTTACATACTACTCTTAAAGATTCATCATCAAGAAGTTTAAGAAATTCAGATTGTACTCCGTCTGGTCCTGGAGCTCTACCTTCTTTTAGTGATATTATGGCTGCTCTTATTTCTGCCACTAGTATAGGTGGTCCTGTTTCCGTAGGTATTGGGGCTGGTTCTCTCTCTCATCAAAAAATAAATTTCTTATGTAATTTTTCCAGGTATCATTGATACTCTCTTTGTCCACGATTATCTCTCCATTGTCATTAACAAGTTTACTTATTCTTATGTTTTTACATTTACCTGTAATTTCTCTTACCTTCTTATGCACGTTGAAGTCGTCGTATTTACTTTGGAGAATTTCGATTTCTTGGCATTTTTTCTCCAGTTCTTTCTGTTTGGCTTCTCTGACCTTTCTCTGTATCTCTCGCTGTAATGTTTTATACATGGAGTTATCGTTCTTGTTTTTCCTTCTTTCTTCCATTAGTTGCAGAATCTCTGTCGTCATCCATGTCTTATTCTTACCTTCTTCGTTCTTCATAAAATTGTCTTTAATGTCGTCTATTGCATATAAGCTAGCATTAGAAAATTTAAAATCAATAGTAAATCCAATAGAACAGAAATACCTCAATATCATGAACCTACAGCCTCCACTAAGGAGGTCAGTGTAAAAATAAATCAAGAAAATGTTTAAAAAGTGGATCAAAGCTACCCCAAATGATTGTATCAAAAATATTGTTGCACCCTTTTTGTTATCTTTGGCCTTTAAAACAATCGATAGTTAAAAAAAATGCAATGGAACATTTATATTTAGACAACTCACAGATTTCTACGACAGTCTTCCAAAGTAAAATCATTAAATGCATCCAGGCGTTTAATTTGACGGTGTTCACTTAAAAACGATCCTACTCAGGTAAATTATTGTGATGGGAAGAGAATGCAAGGAAGCGCGGATATGAACTAACCGAGAATCGCTAATTAGGAAACGATTGTTAAACACCGAGATTCATTGCAACAAAAACTTTTCCGGGTCAATACCCAAATTGAACCGGTCAATTTTTATAAGTTGAGATACACGTGTGAAAAATAAAAATGAAGAGTTACAATAATAATATGATATTGTTGTAACTATAAAGCTTCTTGTGATGTTATTATGTTGATTTTCTTCCTTATTTAAGAGATAAGACATTTTCTAAAAACTAGTGACGTCCCACAACTATACAACTTGTTATAATTTTATAATAAATTCCTCACTAACATCTTATCCATCATAGCTTATACTGCAAACAAGCAAACAGCAAAAATCAAAGTTGATAAACCGAAGAAATTGAGATTCGTCAAGGTGTGCGTCAGGGTTGTGTGCTTTTTCCACTATTAATCAATATATATATATATATAATATATATATATATATATATATATATATTATATATATATATATAGCGAAACAATATGTCAGGAAGCGCTCCTCGAGCAAAACATTGGTATGAACATTAACCGAGATTTAATTAACAATATACAATACGCCAATGACACGCTAATAGTAACAGATAACCTAGCAAATTTACAGTTTTTGATAGAAAACATAAACACCCATACCAAGAAGTATGGTTTAAAACTAAACATCAAAAAGACTAAATTCATGATTGTAACAAAAAAGCTATACACCAATGTGAATTTAACCATAAATATTCAATGAGTTGAAAGAGTTACGTCCTACAAATATTTAGGGGTTTGCTTCACTGATACTAATGACCAGACAAGAGAAATCAAGAGGCGAATAGAGATAACGAGATAATCGTTTGTCAAAATGAAAAAGTTTCTATGCAGCCGGGACATAAATATAAACTTAAGGTGCTATGTTTTCTCCGTTCTGCTGTACGGCATGGAAGCCTGGACACTGAAAAAGATAAACATCAAAAACATTGAGGCGTGCGAGATAAGGTGTTACAATAGAATGTGGAAAATACCATGGACAGAAAGAGTAACAAATCAAGATGTTCTGCTGAAGATGGGGAAGGAATGCGAAGGCATAAAAACCATACAAACGAAAAAACTGGAATATTTGGGCCACATAATGAGAGGAGCAAAGTACTCTCTGCTTAGACTCATAATCCAAGGAAAAATCTCGGGAAAGAGAAATGTGGGATGTACAAGGATTTCCTGGTTGCACAATTTAATAAGGCTGCAGTTCAATACAGTTGTTTAGAGCTGCAGCCAACAAAGTAAAGATTGCTGTGCTGGTAGCCAACCTCCGATAGGAGATGGTACTGCAAGAAGAAGAAGAATGATTTCTCTTGCACTTGCCTCCCTCTAAATACAACGTCGGTGCATGATCTTTCCGACATAAAACCTTGTTGTTTTTCTGCTAATGTTATAATTTCATTCCATTTATTTGTTATCCTTTTGGTTGTTAATTTTAGTGTTGCGTTTAATAAATTAATTCCTCTGTAATTTTCCTGGTCCGATTTGGTGCCTTTTTGAACAGAGAGATGCTTGATCTTCATTCTTGAGGAATTCTGTTTTGTTCTATTATTTTTTTAATTATTTTTAATAGTTGTTTGGTCAGATCTGGTCTTCCGTAATTTAGGAATAAGTTCGGCATTCTGTCATTTGCTGCTGATTTTCTATTTTTAATTTCCTTTTTTCAATGCTTCCTTTACCTCTTCCTCCTCAATATTTATTTCTTTGTTTTTCGTCACCTGTGGTGTTGGTAATTCATCATCGTCTCCTTTAGCAAACAGGGATCGAAAATAGTTTACCCATGTTTCGTTCTGAATGTGTTTTGTTTTTTCTAGTTCGTTCATCTTTTTTTTTTTTTGTCCTCTGATCATTCTCCATATTTCTTTTTATGTTCCGTAGAAATTGAAATATGTAATTAAATATAAGAGTAAACAACAAAAACATCCAAAAGGTCCCCAAGTTCAGATATCTCGATAGTTGAGAATAGTTGATAGTAGCAGAATGAAGCAAGCCAGAACAGCATTTACTAATATGATAACCTTGCTGAGCAACGGCAGCCTTAACTTAACGCTTTTATATCGCTTTGTTAAATGTTACATTTACTCTATACTGCTATATGGTGTAGAAACTGGACCATAAAGGCCAATGTGATAAACCGATTGGAGGCCTTTGAAATGTGGGTATTTAGAAGACTACTTAAAATTCCCTAGACAGATCACAAAACAAATGTCGAAGAATTAAATCGAATGGACAAAGAACGAAAATTGCTGCCAATAATAAAAAGATAAAAAACTGCTTATCTGGGTCATATATTTCGAAATTCCAAGTACCAGTTCTTAAAGCTTATTATGGAAGGGAAGATAGAAGGAAAATAGGGCATAGGAAGAAAAAAATACTCACGGCTTAAAAACATAAGGGATTGGACAAACCTCGATGCCCATGCACTCTTTAGAGCCACACAGGATCCAGAGGAGTATGCCAAAATTGTCGCCAACATCCACTAATTGGATAGGGCATCATAAGAAGAAGAAATCGTGTTCCATCTGTTTTGAGAAGCTCTGCCAGTGTTCCTTTTTTTTTTGTCTACCAAAAGTATTCGTTACATTTCTGATTCGTTTATAGTGGTTTTATGCCTGTTGTGTTTGTTATGTTCTGTATTGTTAAAAGGCTTTCTTCTTTTCTTCACATTTTGTCTTTACTTCCTCTCTAAATCATGGTGTATTTTTTTGATATTTAAGTGTTCGTTCCTCTTTCCTTTACAATAATTTCCTGTAAAATATATCTAGTAAAATCATAATTTTTTAACTAATTTTAACGCTACGGATTTTAACGATATATAACACAAACCCGAAATAATTTGCATAGTTTGACAGTTTCAATTTTGTTTGCAGGTTTTGGAATTTTCGTCAGAAACAACACCATGAGTTTTCTGAATTCCTTGCAGGAATACGTGAGCAACAGCGTAGCCGGATTGACTTTAAAAAGTCCAAAAAGGTGAGTCATTTTATAGTTTTTTATTTGTAAATTAATTTTTCGCAACTATGAAAAATACAAAATTAGATTAGAATACCAATAATGACAAATAGTAGTTAATTGTTTAATTAAATTGTAAATAGTAGTAGATTTCAAATAAAGGAAATGGCTTAATTTGATTGTTAAATTATAATATTGAAGATGCGCTTGGAATACTTTTAAAATTTTGTTTTTCCAAGCATAATGTTTGTTGCGCTTCTATTCCAAGTTAGATTAAGTTCCTGGTATATTTACCGATTTTTTTTATTGTTTTATTTATTAGCATAGATCAGTGTGGTATCCACCAACGATCCTGGAAGTTAAAGACACTGTAAACAAACTAGCCAGAAACAAATCACCCGGAATAGATAATCTCCCAGCGGAATTATATAAAGAAGGTGGCCACAATATCATAATAGCGCTACAGCAGCTTATAAAAGAAATATGGATACAGAAGTCCCTTTCCAGTGATTGGAATATTATAATACTTTGCACCATATACAAAAAGGGAGATATCTTTGAATGCTCTATCTAGGAATTACGCTCCTAAATTCAGCGTATAAAATATTCTCCAATATACTATGCCATATTCGCTCTGCATACGGCACCGTATGCAGAGCGAATAATAGGACAATACCATGCTGGTTTCAGAGGTGGTAAATCAACAATTCATCAGATTTCAACCCTGAGACAAATTCTAGGGAAAACACTGGAATACGGTGTAGACACGCACCACATATTTATATACTACAAGGCAGCCTATGACTATGTAAATAGAAGAGAATTATTTAGAGTAATGATAGACCTAGGAGTACCAAATCAGTTGGTAAGTCTAACCAAACTAACCCTTGAAAAAGTTGAATGCAGAGTACTAATCCAGGGGGAATTCTCTGAACCTTTTAATACAAATAACGGGCTACGTCAGGGAGACCCACTCTCCTGTGTCCTATTCAATCTAGCTCTGGAAAAAGTAATACGTACGTCACAAATCACAACTACCGGTTCAATATATAACAAAAAAGAATATATCGATATTTTAATTAATAATTTACTTGTCTGTCTACACTTTGTCAATGTCAAAAAAACGAAATTCGAAATTAGGTTAGGATATCCTGGTCAAGCTCTAAACCACTGCTTTTACTTTGAGTTAAAAATTTTATAGGTTAACCACAACCCGAGCTGTTGACCTTATATTGTGAAACCTATATTTCAGGGTAACCGCTGGTTATCTCTTAACCGCAAGGTAACTTTACTTTGTGAAACCGGCCCTAAGTAAGAAAGATAATTTTTGTATACATTATGCCCTTCATAGAAAAGGTGAGCTAGAGTAAACGAAATTAAAGATGTTAAAAAAGATTGGCCTTACCTTAAAATATTTTCAAGTTAAATTTTGAACGGCAAAATTAACAATTTGTGACGCAACTAAAATGTACTTTTATGATGAAATACAAACATGTGAAGTAGGTATCCTTCTATGCATATTAGTGCGTTTTGATTTATTTGAAAAGATGGCGCAAATATCACTATTATTGTTCTGAAGCTATTTTCTTGTGGCATTTTAAATTAATTACTATTTAACTGGGAATAAGCCACAATTAAAGATAAAAATACGTTTATTGACGTTTCAATTTCCAGTTCGGAAATCGTTCTCAAAATACAAACAGTAAATTAAACAAATTTTGTTTTTTGTTACATAGTAAAAAATTCTTCAAATAATTTCATTTTATCTGACTCATTTATATTGACAATTCAGACATACATTATGCATTAAAAAAATCATTTCTAAACAAAATTTCAAACCCACAGTATGGTGGAGGTATGTAGATGATGTATTCTCAATATATCAGAGTTGTTGGACACATTCCTAAATGATATAAACGATAAAGAACAGACAATAACATTTACCATGGAAAAGGAATATAATAACCCGCTACCTTTCCTGGATGTTTTAATCTCTAAGAACGATACTGGATATGAGACTCAGGTGTATAGAAAACCAACACACACCAATAGATATTTAAATTTCAAATAAAATTACAATATTAATGAAAAAAAGGGAATAATTAAATCCTTATACGATAGAGCCAAAATTACTTGTTCTAACGAAAATTCGTTCTTGGAGGAGAAACATTTGTTAACATCTGTTTTATTAAAAAGGGATTATCCTTTATCGTTTATAAATAAGGAATTTTCAACAATCGATCGAATATAACAGAACAACTTAGAACGAGATCCTACAGCATACACAAGAAATAATACGAGGACAATAACAATACCGTACATAAAAGGATTATCAGAAAAACTTAAAAGGATAGGAAATAAATTCAACATTTTAACAACATTCAAAACAATAAACACGCTGAGATCTATTTTGTCCAAAACCAAACCTAACAATGAACAAGAAAGGACAAAGAATTGCATTTATAAAATACCTTGTGAATGCGATCAGTTTTATTTAGGTTAAACATCAAGGCCATTAAATGTTAGAATAAGTTAACATCAATCTTATATTAAAAATAGAGAATTTGATAGATCTCAAATATGTAAACACGCATGGGATAATGAACATAGGGTTCAATGGAATAATTCAAATGTAGTCCTAAAAGAAACGGATGGTAAAAAAAGAAAAATCAAAAAAGCGGCTCTAATTATGCTAAATGAGGCCAATTGTGTCGCAAATTCCTCGGCAGAATGTAATAGGTTCTGGTTACCAGTATTGAAAGAGGAAGTTATTAATAAAAAAATACCAGTATAAGTAAGTCGAAACATATAATATCAGAATTTTGGTGTTTATTGAAGGTAAACTAAATGCACGTACAAATACTTACCATGTCGGGATAGTATTATGAGGTTTTTTTCCTGGTTTTTCCCTCATAATTTACTATGGAATCACTAACAGGAGAATTTTAATATCATCATGTCATGTGTTTGTCTTTTTAAAGACGAATTACATGCTATGATTTTTTTCTGACGGATATTCTCAAGTTAAAGTTGATTTCACGTAATCGAATGAACTATCATATAAGTAAAGTCGTCCCAGGAGCGCAACTCAACAATATTGGCAGTATCATTTTAAAGTCATCTACTTTAAAAAAATGCATAATGTATGTCTGAATTGTCAATATAAATGAGTCAGATAAAATTAAATTATTAGAAGAATTTTTCAGTATGTAATAAAAACAAAATTTGTTTAATTTACTGTTTGTATTTTGAGAACGATTTCCGAAGTGGAAATTGAAACGTCAATAAACGTATTTTTAGCTTTAATTGTGGCTTATTCACAGTTAAATAGTAATTAATATCACTATTGTTACAAACGACACCTGTTACAATTGACACCAGTCTCCCCTACTGGACTGAGTTTTACACACTTACACAGAAATGAAGTGAGAAAATTGACCTTAATGTAGCGATCAAAACTAAGAATTTAACCGTAAATATACAACAAGTTACATAGGACAATGACAAACAAAAAATTAAAAAAAAAAACGATTGTCTAGAGTATTCCAAAGAAATTCGAGAACTATTGTAAAAAACATGGCAAAAAACAGAACTGCAGAAATAAGATATAAAATTTCTCTAATAAATGAAAAAATGTATGTTTAATTGTACAAAATATTACAGTAGAAGTTGCCAATCATAATTTGACGTTTTCTGACCAGCATCTTATATAAACGAGAGCCTTTTAAAAATAACGTCGTATATTTTTACTATTCCAAATTTTTTACTTCTGCCACCTATCGCTATAAGGAAAACAATTTTAGTTCAATAAATCAAGTCTTTGTGCGTTCCCTTCGCTCTCCACAGGTAATCACTCATTTTATTTTCCCAAATCTCTTTTATCCTCTGGCAACCTCGAACGGAAATTTCCTCCGGCTTCGGCGTATAAGTTAAAAGCCGAATACCTACAACTAATTGTCGACTTGATGGTGAATTCTTGTTTATTTGAAATGTTTCTTGACGTAAACTTAATAATGATAAATAGTTGCTTTTAGATAATGAAAAATGTCAACTTGTTTAACTAATTGAGTTGAAAGTGTCATAAAAACTTTCAGAAGAGATTTCCAAAAATTATCAACTTAAGTTAAATTTTAAAGAGAATTTACACATTTACTAAACTGTTTGTTCGGGCTGTTAGGTCGTTGTCTTCTGAGATTAGTTGAAATAAGTGGTCTTAAACTAATTCCATTCTAAATAAAATCAAAAATAATGTGTCTCAGTAGTTTCCATCGTCACGCAATAGAAGAGAACAAATTGTGGTTGCGCGTTTACGTCTAGGACATACCAGATTAACGCACTCCTACCTTTTCACAAAGAAAAATGCACCTATATGTAATCAGTGTAACGTCCGATTAACAGTCGAACACTTTTTAACAATTTGTAGTAAATATGACCAAGAAAGACAGCGCTACAAGATCTCAAACGCTCTACCACAGGCTCTAGGTCAAAACTGTTCCTGTGACAATATAGAGAATTATCTCAGATCCATAAACATTTTGTACAATTTGTAGGTGTTTCACTTTGTTATTTATATTTTGTTCCGTCGCTAATAACCTTTTGGTGGATGCGACATTTTTTCTAATAAAAAAAAATTAAAATTGACGTTTAAACTACAGATACAAAACTTGTAACATTTTCAATTTCATTGATTCTTTGAAGTATATTGAAGTCCCCTCGTATACGAAATATTAAAATCACCTTATATATTTTTGATAGATCTAAAAATATTTCGTACGTATTTAAACCCAAATATCTTTTCATTTCTTTCTTAGGTCGGCCAAGTTGAAATAAACCATTTTAGAGTTGTTTATTTATTTTAACTTCCTCCGCAAATTCTTGTTTTATTAGAAGCCGCAATTTTAATGCGTCGCAAAAGGATATGTACGTCGTTTCGTGGTTTCTTGTTATATCAGCGTTTGTATGTATGCGTTCAATTTTAATAGAATTTCTTCACTATCGTTGGAGCTGCGGTGAAAAGCGGT